GAGCTTGGTGCCAGTTGCTGAGCTCAGTTGGGCCTTAATACTGATTTTCTGACTCCTCAGCAGAGGTGGTATTCAGCCGGTTCTGACCGGTTCTAGAGAACTGGTAGCGGAAATTTTAAGTAGTTAGGAGAACCGACAAATACCATCTCTGGCTGGCCCCGCCCCCATCTATTCGCTGCCTCCTGAGTCCCAGCTGATTGGCTGGGTCTTCTTTTGTTGCCCTGCACAGAAGAACGGAGCTAGATAGCAGGTTATTGGGGTCAGGAGGGAATGGGAATTTTGTAGTGACCTTCCCAAGCCATGGCCACCAAGCCATGGCCACCAAGCCGCACCCTCAGAACCAGTAGTAAAAAATATTTGAATCCCACCACTGCTCCTCAGGATTGTGTGCTTCACTTGTTTGCCTTACCGTGGGACTCACTTTTTTGCTCCTCCTAAGAAACACCACCTGTTCTACTGAAGACACTTTCATGTTCTGCAACACTGACATATTGCAGCATAGAAACTAAGCCTTTTACTTTCTCCAATAAGGACACAAGCTTTCAATTCCAACAGGCGTAGTCTTTGAGCAAGAGGACAAAGATTACATCCACCTTGGAAATCGCTGAGAAGCTTCTTTTGTTCTCCACACTGCTTGGAGTTTATTGGAGTCTCCCTCCGGCCAACTCTTAATATGGTCTCCTTATTTGCTAGCTCATTGATCAAGCAGAAAAATAAATTACATTTAGGTCATCCTGTCAGAGTATGCATGTCTATGCGTAGGTATATTTCAATCCAACCAACCTAATTATGAAGAATTTTGTAAATGTAGCAGAACTGTAGCTTTAAGCAAGAAGCAAAAATTATATCTGCAATAGCTTAAAAAAAGAAGCAGCAGTGGCTAAGGAAGCAATAAATTATTCAAAATGTAAGAGATTATAGCAGTTCTAGAAACCGAGGAGGGAGTGGAGAATCAGACAAGTGATGAAATGTTTAAGAACAATCGAGCTGATAACAGTGAGTGTTGAAGAAAGAACAGCATATGAAACAGAGCAAATTATAGGAAGAATTTGAAAAACCTAGGCTACTGGCTACCCTGTGAAGCTAAGAATTTGAATCATTCCCTTGCTGACTGTAACACATTAAAAAGTGGACTTTAATATCTGAAAAGTTGATTGTTCTATTTCCATCCACTCATTTTCTGGGCCCTCCAAATAAGTTTACCTAGCTCAGATTCTGATACCAAAAAAGTAATTTCTCTGAAATGTCAC